CACCTGATTTCAGGACCCTTGACTCAGCTTTTTTCAGCCACATGTCTCTTGGACTTTGGCCCAGAATTTAGAATGATAGGGAAACAAAGGAGTGGGCAAGCTTATAGTCAAGAGAAGCAAAATATTTGGAACCTGTGTGCCTTAGTTTAGTTAATGGAATAAATGCAGCTTTCCTCTTTACATACTTTACTGGCTAACAGACAAACATGAAACACCTGAAGAAGTAGGAGAGGAGCTGGGTTCCAGAGCCTGGGAATATAAACTCAGTTTTGACCCTGCCAGCAAGATGGAACTTATTCCTAAGATGGCTGGACCCAGGAAATTGTCATGATAGTAGCCCTCGTGTGGGTGCTGGGAATGGAACCAAATTCCGATGCTCTGCAAGAACAGTGATGCTCTAACCTTTGAGCCATCTCTCTAGCCCCTCCTTTAAAAATTCTTTCTTTTCCTAGCTGGGCATGGTGGCACATGCCTTTAGTCCCAGCACTCAGGAAGGCAGATTGCGGTGAGTTTGAGGCCGGCCTGATTTCTCTTGCGCCCCCTCTTCCCTCCCCACCTCTTTGATTTTTTTTGAAACAGGGTTTTCATCTGTTGCTCTGGAACCCGCTCTGTAGATCAGGCTGGCCTGCAACTCAGGGATCCACCAGCCTCTGCCTCCTGAGTGCTGGGATCAAAGCCGTGGGCCACCGAGCCCGGGTAATTTAAAAATTTTTAATATTAAGTGTTGACTCCTTTTGGTGAATGTGAGGCCACAGAGATCCAGGTGTCAGATCTTGTCCTCCTCGGCATTTGTTCAACCTTTCCACTCCCCCTCAGACTCACAAAAAAAGAAGAGGAAGAGGCTTGGAAGATAGCTCACTTTGTAAAGCATTTGCCAGGCAAACAGAAAGATCTGAGTTCAATCCCCAGCACCCACCTAAAAGTCTGCTAGGCCAGATTTTTAATCTATATTATAAATGTTAATTTGTTTTGATCTAATTACGAATGCTAGCTAGCCAGCATTTATAATGCCAGCAACTAGGAAGGTAGAGAGAAATAGATCCCTAGTGGCTTCTCAAGGTCCCAGTGAGAAACCTTGTCCAAAAAAGCAAGGTAAGGCTGCTGAGATGGCTCGGTGGATAAAAGTATTTCTTGCCAAGCCTGCTGGCCTGTTTGTGTTGGGTTCAAAGTGGAAGCCAAGAAAACTTTCAGATACAGAAGCTAAAAATGAAAGCTTATTTTCTGAGCTCAGGGAGGCAGGCAGTTCAGGATCTGAGAGCTACACAGAGGAAGCTGTTTTGCATATTTAAAGGGTGAAATCCGTAGAGCAAGGGGAAGAGGGTGGGCTGCAGTGAGAAATGAGACCATCCCAGACTAGAAAGAAAAACAACTGGACCTTGAATAAGGGCCAGCTTAGAAAGAAGAACAGTCAGACAATTAGGGCTACTAAACCTTGAGTAGAGGCCAGACCAGATGGCCCTCCTCAGAAGACAGGATGAGCTTATTTTGAGATAAGAAACCTGGGGCAGGGAGGACTGCCCTTGGAAGAAGCTGTAAGCTAAACTGCTGTCTTTCTGCTGACTAGTCAATGGAAAGATACATGTGTGGACTGATTTTTAGGTATAAAAACTCTGTGCTTTGTATGCTTGGGGTTGTCTCCTGCCTTGAAGGGGCGACTCCCATCGAGATTGGAATAAACTGCCTCTTGCTTTTGCATCGAACCTCGGTCTGCGAGTCTCTTTGGGGAGGGAGCGGTTCGGAGTCCCTGCATCAGAGTGCAGGTTTTGCAGCAGCATTGTCCAATCATATTTTGTCATAAGGAGTAGAGCAAGGGAATTTCCGTGAATCAGGACAGGAGTAGGTCTCTGGGCCTGAGAACATGAACTTGTCTGACCCTGCCACCAAGACAGAGAAGTTGTCCTTGAGGTGTCTAGACATTGGGACATCTCTAACTGCCATAGGATCTGGGACCTTGAGTTTAGTTTCTCCCTATGGTTAAATGGAGTCTGAGAATGAAATGAGAGTACTTGGAATACATTTCTTCTGCTCATTCCCAACAGTTTGATTCCTGGAACCCACATGGCAAAAAGAAAGAGCCAATTCATATGGATTGTCTTCTAATCAGCACATGCATCCCATGCCATGGTTCACATGAGTGAATAAACATACACACACAGAAAGAGAGAGAGAGAAAGAAAGAGAGCCTACTTTCCATTTTTCCCAATCTAATATCTCAAGGAAAAAAAATAGATGATAAACAGATACACAGACAGATATATAAAAAATTATATTCTTCTCCTCATCACACGATTACCAGACTGTCCCATAGAAGCTTATAGTAGCTAATCCCCTCCTGGATCTAAAGTGTCCAATCCTGAGCTGCTGAGGAGTCTGAAGCTGCCATCCCTTAGCAATAATCAGTCCTTTTGTGGGCTTGTCCTCAGCTAAAGAGAGCCACTTAGCACAAGGTCACAAAGACGTGGCCTGTGTCTAAGGAGTGGTCAGTATCAGGTGTAAGGACCCAGCCACTTAACACTGCCTGGAAGGCACGTGTAAGGTCACAGTAGTCCCCAGTCTTCTGTGGAGCCATGAAGGCTTCATGGCTCCTTTGCAGCCTAACTTTTCCCTCTGCCACCTTCTGGTTCCTCTTCTTTCTCCATGTTAAAGATTTATTTATTTTTATTTGCTGTATACGGGTGTTTTGCCTGCATGTGTGCCTGTACTCCATGAGCACAGTACGTTCAGAGGTCAGAAAAGATTGTTGGATCTCCTGAAAGCTGGAGTCGAAGTGAAAGCTCCATGTGAGTAGTGGAAACTAAACCACTGAGCCATTTCTTCCACCCCCTTTCTCCTACTCCTTCCCTTCCTCCTCCCTTTCTTCTTCATCTTCTTCCTCCTCTTCTTCTTTCTTATCTATCTATTTATTTATTTACTTATTTTTGTTTTTCAAGAGATGGTTTCCCTGTGTAGCCCTGGCTGTCCTGGAACTCACTATGTAAACCAGGCTGTCCTTGAAACTCAGAGAGCCACGTGCCTCTGCCACCCAAGCGCTGGGATTAAACATGGACACCAACCTAGCAACTTTCTTTTCTTCTTTTAAAGAGCTCTTGTTGCTCTTGCAGAGGACCCTGGTTCGATTCCCAGCACCTACATGGAGGTTTACAACCATCCATAACTCTAGTTCCAGGGGATCTGGATGCCCTACTTATGCCCTCTGTTGCCACCCAGCAAGGGTATGTATGGTCCAGATACACATATGGCAACGGCAACACACACACACACACACACACACACACACACACACACACACACAATAAAAGAAGTCAGTCTACTAAAATTCTGTTTTCTTTTGTTTGAGACACTGTTTTTTGTACAACAGCCACAGATGTCCTGGAACTTGCTTTTATATACCAGGCTGGCCTTGAAACGACAGAGATCCACCTGCCTCTGCCTCCAGAGTGCTGCTGAGGTGAGAGGTGTGCGCCACAGCCACCCAACTTTTTGTTATTCAGTTTTATGATGTGTTTACTTTCTTTCTCGTAGACCAGGGTTCTCAACATATAGGTCATGACCCCTTTGGGGATCAAAGGGGCCTTCACTGTGGATCATAAGAGACCATCAGAAATATCAGGGACAAACTGTGGGTAAAAGCAAATGTCTGCAAAAGTAGGCCCGAGGACCGCAGGGGTGGCTCAGCAGTGTCTCTTTGGCCTGCAGGCCTTCCTACAAGGAGGTGTGGGGGTCTTGTCTTCCCACCTCCCGCTCCTAACTCCCCCCTTCGCTCTCCTTCCAGAGAATTCCTGCTATAGATCGAAATGTAAGCGCTTTGGCTGATGGGAACATCGGTTTGCCTCAGGAGCTTGTAAATGTCTAACGAAGAAGTCGCCAAGCTCGGACATTCATGACTAAGATGCCCACCGTCCCGTCCCCCAGCACCTGATTAATTCAGCGGTTACCAGTTACCGAGGTCACTGCAAGTGCACAAAGCAGTAAACAGCAGTAAGCAGGGGAACCAGGGCCCTTAGGAGATGCTGGTCTCAACGGCTGGGAGGAGTCAGCCCTTCCAATCAATCATCCTGTTGGCTTCCTGGGCTCCCTTAGCAAAGCGCTTGGTGGCTTCCATCAGAAATGTCAGCTCAGCGCTGGCAGCCAGAAATCCAAATCAAGGTAGCGGCTGGACCAAACTACCTCTGAAACCCAGTGAAAGGAATTCTTCCCGTGTGTTGCTAGCTCCTGGCAGTGGTCACAGTCCTTGGCATTCCTGGGCATGTAGCCGCATCTCTCTCCACTGTGTCCCCACACATTGCCGGTTCATATTTCTGTTTTCCCTTGTTACAAGGACAGCTGCTTTTAGTTAAGAAGGCCCACCAGGCCTCTATTCCCAGCACTGGAGAGGCAGAGTGAATCTCTGAGTTCGAGCCCAACCTGGTCCATGAGCGAGTTCCGGGACAGTCAGGGCTACATGAAGAAACGCTGTCTCGAAACAACACAAAACACAAAAAGCCCCAGCCTGATGACCTCAGGCACAGAGGTACTCCGAGGGCAAAATGTTTACAGATCTTGGCCAGCGCGGGAAATGCAAAAGCCAGTGGTGGGGTTTCTAGGCACGGGGACGGGGGAGCGAGGGGGGGCGGGAGGGACCCTTGCATCAGGCCCGCTTCAAAGACCACTCACTCTCCACAATGTCACAGTTTCCTAACCAGGAGCAAATTCTGTCACGTCCGGAGTAGTATCAAATTCACTAGGTGACTCTGAGAGCACGGAGGAAGGCGAAGAAAGCAGTGGAGATTCCCACGCAGCGGGGGGGGCCGAGATCCTCCTCCACCCTGCAGCGGGGTGAGCTCTCCGCATCAGGACACTGAGTAGGACAGATGCCCCGGGCTGGGGGCAGCTTAGGAGGCGCTGAGGCCGCCAGGGGGCGCGCGCGGGCCGGAGCTGGCGGAGGCGGGCGGGGAGGGGCGCGGGGACCCTCTGGTTGGCTGGGCCGGGCGCCCGCTGTCCCGCCGGGCTTGAACGTGGTCCCGCCCGGCGCTCGCTCTTCCTTTTCCGCCGGGGCGCGCTACGGGTAAGTGGTCCTGGTGTCGCGGGCCGCAAGGTCCCACCGCGTGGCCTCCGAGGTCCGCAATAGCCCCGCGCGCCGGCTCCCGTCCCGTGCGCGTCCCATCCGCGCGGGGCAGGGCCCGGCCGCGCGCAGCCCCCTCCCGGGGGAGGCGCGGAATGCGGAGGCCCGGGGTCCTGGGCACAGCCGGGGCGCCCGCTCGCCCGGGAGTGTGGTGAGGGGAAGCGAGTGAGGTCGGAGACCCGAGCGCAGCGAGACGGCTTCGGTGTTAGCGCAAGGGACGGAGGTGACTTCGCCCACGGGGTGCGCCGCCGCCTTCCCCTAACAGAAACCCGGCTTCTGGGCTGGGCTCCTGGGGGAAATCTGAGTGTCGGGGTTCGCGCTCGTGCAGGGCATTAGACCCTGACGTCGGTGCTCCGCGGCGTAGAAACGGCTCGTCTCACCGCAGAGTCATAGACCGGGCGGCCGTAGGCGTCCTGCCTGCTCACTGTTGCTTTAACACTTGCTTTAACACTTTAACTCTAAGTTAGGAAGGTGGGTGCCACTTAGTTGTTTAGCGTTGAGATTCGAACTTCGTGCTGGGATCTGTGGGCATGAGCCAGTGCGCCTGGGGAAGCCCGTTTTAGAGGGAGAACAGTGTCGGAGGAGCTTCTTCCATACAGCTGCCCTGTCTGGCGTGCCTCAAGGAAGTGCAGTGAGTGGCAGTTTTGTTTCCTTTAGGGGTTGTTTCTATTGAGCCAGTGGAGTGCGGGGCAGCATGAGCCACTGTCTAAGGACTGTGTGTTAGGAAACGTGCGAATGTGAGGGTTACACACGGGTTCACAAATCACGCCACGAGATCGGTTCCACGTGGGAGGTTTATTAAGGGAAGGGGGGAGAGGGGTCGTAGAGAGACAGGCAGAGAGAAAGAGAGAGAGACGCTCCTGTTCTCTTTATAGGGTGATTTAGAGCATGCGCAGGTAGTTCCAGGTGGTCAGCAGGTGGTCTGGGTGTCTTCACAAATGCCTGATAACCGGTCTGTCAGGTTTCTTGGAGCTGGCTGTAGAAGTGCCTGCTTACTGATCCCAACATTCCTCCCTTTTTGTTTTATTAAAAAGTGGGGAGTCAGGAAGGAGTGATGGTGGGGGAAGGGCATAGGGACGACTTTTGCTCTTCAAGCAACTTCCTGCTGATTAGGGGCGTTGTCCATCTCGGGATACAGCTGGTCCACACCATCGGAGTCACAGTCATCTGGTTTTGTGGGCAGAGGTTGATAATCCTGTAAGAGTAACTGATTAATGGTTTGGTTAGAGATTTTTTTGTATTTGTTGTTGGAAAAATGTAGAGAGGAAGTTAATTAAGCAAAGTGCAAAAAGCAAAAGCAGAAAAACTAGCAAGAGAGGTGTGATAAGGGGCAGAATCCATTTCCATATGGGATTTTGAAAGGCCCAAGAGCTAGACGCCTCCAGCCCTTCCTCTCGTTTTTGTAAATCTGTCTGGAGTTGTTGGATTTTGTCCTTTACTATACCCGACTGGTTGACATAAAAACAGCATTCCTCCTGGAGGAAAAGGCAGAGGCCACCTTCTTTAGCTGTGAGGAGATCCAATCCGCGTCGGTTTTGAAGTGCTGCTGCTGCCAGCGAGTCAATCTGTCCTTGGAGGGTTAGTATTGTCTGAGCTACCCTTTGAAGGTCCTGGATGAACTGGGAAGAAAGCTGATAATACAGAGTTAGTGAGGTAGCTAATCCTGCTGTTCCGGTCCCTAAAACTGCCGTTATTCTGGCAGCAGCCAGCAGCGGTAGGATTTGAATTGCCCTCTTTTCCTGCCGGGCAGATTTTGAGTCCACAACCAGGATTGGTAGGAGCTCTCTGTCGCTTATTACCCCCAGCTCGGGGAAGAGGAGTACCAGAGCGCAAACTCCTGACCAACGAGTAGGCAGACGATGGTAGACCTGAGTGCCACAAAGAATCGAAATGTTATTCCCGGTAGGGCATTGGGGTTGAGATGAGGTCTCGAGGATTATAGTTTTATTACAGTCTAAAGAATTTAGTTTTCCTACAGAGTGTATCCCAGATGCCTTGAAACAGCTTGCCACGCCAAAGAGGGTGATATGAGAAAGGTAGGGGGTTGTGGCAACAGTAGAATAGGCTGCTTTGATGCTTTTCCAGGTCTGTGAGAACACCCATGGCTGGGAGGGAAGGTGCAGGTCCAGCTTGTTGGAAGTCTGTGAGGTTGGAGTTGGAACACCTGTAGCTGCTTTGTGGCTATAGGAAACATCTGTGTCTGGCAGGACACTGAAACACATATATAGGCAAAAGATAAAGTTGAGTATAAAGAAAATCCTGTAGGTATACATTGAACGGTTTGGATTGATGAAGCTGGTACATGGGAACTTCTGTCTACCTGGACAGGACTTTACCCAATTACTGGCAATATTAAAGAAGGCTTTGTTTTTGATCTGTCATCGAGGTGAGGTTTGGTTACAGAAGCGTGTAAACTTAGAGGCCCTGGTGCCAGCTGGCACTAGGTGTAGAAACGCCTGTCTGGAGGGACGGGCGTCTGGGCGTCTCCCATTGGGGGCAGAGAAGTCCCTATGTAGGGATGTGGTTATGGGTGTTATCCATTGGGAGCCGAAAGAGACGAGGCCTTCTAATGGCGTCCCAGGAGAAGGCGGGTCTCTGGAGAGAGCGATCCGGTCTGATCAGTATCTCGTCAGATATTGGCCAGGGATCGAGGGCCAGGTGCCCAGTGGCACGCCCGAAAGAACGCGTTTTCGCCTAGCTAGGACTTGGTGCAAGAGCACGTAGAGAAAAAGAAACGCGTGTAGAAAGCTCCCAAGGGAAAATGAGGAGAAGAACCGTGTGGGGGACCTTCCCATGAGCAAGCGAGCGAGTGCGTGCACGAGCGAGGGGGGGGAGAAACCCGTAGAGGGGGTGTACTGCCCAAGGGAGAGTGTGGCCCTAAAGTGAAAGTCAGCATAGAGGGTCAAACCTAGACAATTAAGGCTACGGCTGAGGGGGGGGGGCCAGAGCTCTGTGGTCAAGCTTCCCCTACCAAGAGAGGCTTGTATGCCGAGAAAATGGAGTGAACTCACCAATCCAGCCAGTGGTTGTACGCAGTAAATAGCAGTCTGGTAGCCAGGAAAGGAAGTCCCAAAACCAGGGAAAGGGGAGGAGTCTCACCTTTTGAGATAGGCAATAAGTGCAGTACTTATCTGGAATCCAGTTGTCCTGAGAGGTAGATTTAGGTGGACTTTCTGCAGCTTACAAGAATTACTTTTAAGTTTTAAGAAGGAGATAAAACTTTAGACATGTTAGTATTATGATTGTCCTCTGCATTGAGAAAAAGGCAGTAGACATACATATGTGTTAACGGCATAAGTACTTTTTAAGGTGAACTCTGAAAAAGCAAAAGCCTTTTATGAAATAAAAGGTAAATTTACTTGATCTTAACCTTTAGTATAAGCATAGACATTATGGAGGCTTACAATCTTGAGCTTAGAACCATAATAGTGGAACAGTGGTATAGTGGAATGTTTTTGTATCAGAGTCAGATTAATAAATTAGAGTTTTACTGATAAAGGTCAAAACTCTGGACAGTCAATACAACAGTAGCATAACAACAGAAAGAAATATTAAGCCCTTTTGCCTATTTAAGATACCTTAAATCACCTTAGACCTTGTAATGTTTATAACTTGCATTTACCAACCTTAAAACATTTTTTAGAACCTCAAACATTTATAAGTTGAATTATCATACTTAAGACACTTTTTAAGACTCTCAAATATATGTAACTTGTATTTTTATAACCTAAACTCCTTTTATCCTTAGACCCTACATAAGCTATTTATATTTTATCTAGTGATATATCTTAAACTGATTAGTGAGCTAACAGTGGATCTAATTGTCTGCTCTTTAGCTGCAAAGCTACCATTAGCTTAGCATAGCCGTCAAGGTGATCAGAGACCTGAGAAGGATACGTTATGAGCTAAATAAATATACCAATTTATGTGCCAATTAAAATGACAGAGATGACTAGTTAGTCCATCACCTAGGCAGTGTCCCTGGCTCCTGTGTCTCACGGCATCCTGAACAGAGGCTGTCCAGCCAGGCACAGAAGGTGAGAGAGACTGCTTCTACTGCTTTTGTGGAAAGAGGAACAGAAGAGATTGACCTCACCTTGCCTCTCACAATGTGAGACAATGGCTCTTCAGATGTCCCCGGCTTTGTCCACAGTTTAGGCTGGGCCCTAGCAGTGGGCCAGTTGGGGCAGTATTGTCCAGTGGTTAGCATACCACAATCCAGAGTCACAGTCATCTGTTGTTGTGCTCAAATCTTCTCAGAGACCTTCGGGGAACTACTGCCAGGATTTCAGGACTTTCTGTCACAATAAGCTTACACATGTTAAAATGCCATATTCAGATTTCTGACAAGCTTGAGGGCCAGCATATCTGAGTTACTGTTTTTATCATCTGCTCTAAACTGTGTCCTATAAAAACAGAATGCTATACTCTCTAGTTCTAGCATATTTCTGAGATGCATGTTCTAGAATTATATATTTTAAGACAAATAGGCAAACTTCATAGTTAACCATCCTAGGCTTAACCTTAAAAAACCTGAACAAAGAGACTAGGTAAGGCTCAACTGCAGTATTTAGCATGACTTTAAATCTGCTCTTTTTGAACTAAAATCAAAGCAAACCTTTTAATCAGATACAGTTTATAGAGAGGCTAGCAAATCTTGCTGATCCTACCACTTTGTATTAAAATTGAACAGTAAAAAGCTTTGCATTTAGCACTAATCAGATGACTGAACATACCTCAGACCTAAACAAAAATGATCGTAAACTTATGGCTTTACCCCTCTTTATTTTTGGACTAGCATGGTGGCTGGCCACGTGTAACTGAACTCAGCATCCACGATCCCCATCATCAAAATAGAACTTTGTATTTTGATATGATCCTGTTGGAGCCCAGCGTCTAAAAACAAAGAGTTTTGAAACTGTCAAATTTAAAATATATATATATTATATGTATATATATATATATTATATATATATATATACACACAAAGCAGCTTAACAGCTCTCCATAAGATACATTTTAGAAACTGTAATTTTTTAATTAGCATAAACCATAATCCTAATTAAACCAGATTTTAAAACCAGAATTTACCAATGTAAACAACTTAATTTTTAAAGCCAATGCTAACTTAAAATAACTCATTCTTTGGATGAGGGCTTTTAAATAGGAGTGGCTTGGGAAAGGGGCTGAGGGATGGTGCTGGAGAGAGGCACACAGGAGGCGGGGCCTCTTTGCCCGAATTAAAAATGGCGCCGGCCACGTGGAAGCCTCTGATGTAACCAAAGTCCCGCCCATTTTTCCCAAAGCCAAGATGGCTGCACCCAGGCATTTTTGCAGGAATTTTAAAGTTTGGAAAACTCCCTAACAAGTTTTGATTATGACGGTGTGTGTCCTCAAGTCTCAGAGCACTATCGGCCGCCGGGACTGCCACGACTTAGGCTGTCTGCCTTGGCGAAGACCCGGGCGGTCGGGCCGGGCAGGGGGCAGGAGGAGTGGGGCAGTACGAGAACAGGAGGAACAGAGATAAGGTTTAGAACGAAGGAAAAGGAAAACCTCCTTCCATTTTACAGTTTGCTGACAGTGGTTAAGAAGGTCCCGTAAAATACCGGGATTTAACGTGCCGTTAATCGGCCAATTTGGACCCTTACCTAACGAGTATGTAGGCCAAGTTTTATTGCAGAGGCGTATGAGTGTGGAAGTCTTTAGCTGGGGTTGTAGGCCCAAAGTCTTAAAGTTTTGTAGAAGACATCCCAGCGGAGAAGTTGGGGGGATAGACTGCATTGTATGAGCGTTTCCCATCGGGAGTCGAGAGAGAGAGAGAGATGTGGCCTTCTAATGGCGTCCCAGAAAAAGGCGGGTCTCTAGACGAATCGGTCCGGTCTGGTACAATATCTCGTCAGATATTGGCCAGCGACCGAGGCCCTGGTGCCCCGTGGCACAGCCGAAAGAATACGTTTTGTTTTGCCTAGCTAGGAACTTGTGCAAGAGCACGTAGAGAAAAAAACGTATGTAGAAGGCTCCCGAGGGAAACTGAGGCCCTAGGTAGAGATGGGGTCTAGCGATAGGGATATGTTGACCCAAGGGGAAACTTACCAATGTAGTCGGTGTTGGATGAGTTTGTTGCAAACTGGAAGCAGGAAAGTGGAGATCTTGGGCGGATTTGGAGAGGAATAGGTCCCCAGAAGCCCCGGCGTGCTTGGGGAACTTGCTGGAGGTAACCTAATCCGGCCAAACGCACCAATGTTAGGAAACGTGCGAATGTGAGGGTTACACGCGGGTTCACAAATCACGCCACGAGATCGGTTCCACGTGGGAGGTTTATTAAGGGAAGGGGGGGAGGGGTCGCAGAGAGACGAGGCAGAGAGAGAGAGAGGGGCTCCTGTTCTTTTTATAGGGTGATTTAGAGCATGCGCAGGTAGTTTCAGGTGGTCAGCAGGTGGTCTGGGTGTCTTCACAAATGCCTGACAAATGTCTGTCAGGTTTCTTGGAGCTGGCTGTAGAAGTGCCTGCTTACTGATCCCAACACTGTGGGCACAGGAAGGTCCAGCGATGAGGCTCATTTCCCTTCTCTGTTGAGCCTCAGCAAGTTTGGTGCTGCTTCTGGTTTTGAAATCATGAAAGTGGTTCAACGTGCCCTAAAGAAATGATGCAGCTAGTAATTTTGTTTCTAAACGTTACTGTTCTGTGCTCACGTGTTGGATTCATTCAGAGAGATGGCACAGAGGCAATAAAATGGACTCCCAGCTGACAGAAATGTAAGATCAGAGGTTTGTACAGAAATGAATGCTATTCAGAGGCAGAGTCTGTGTTGTCACTGCAGCTGTTAGCCACTGGTTCTTTTTGTAAAAAGCTATGGTCTGGTACTTGTAACTTGTTGACACTTTTTTTTTTTTTTAAAGCAGATGGTCCTATGCCCGGGGTGCTAATGAAATCAAGGTATGTCTTAAAGGAGAAGGTTGGACTTCTCAGGCATGATTCCAGGAACAGAATTCTTGGCCAAGGATGAGAACTCTAACCTGACTGGAAATGCTGCTGTGATGGGTTAAAGGATTTACCTGAGGCCAAGAATGGCAGGAATTGAATGCGGTCACCCACCTCCTTTTAAATTAGATGCCTGGGTTGGGGCATGTGTAGTGAGATGGCTTAGCATGCCAAGCCTGCTGACCTTTGACTTTGATTCCTGGGACCTGGCAGGGAGAACCAACGTTCTAGCGTTATCCTTGGGCCTTCCTGTCTGTGCTATGGCCCCTGTGTGCACACATGAAATGAGTGGGAGGGTTGGGAAATAGAGAAAGATGTGGTTTTGCATTAAAAATTGTGTTAAAACATTACCGAGTAGGTTTATCCAGTAAACTGAGTAGTACATTGATGATTCTATTTACACAAAACACAGTCTGGACGTCAGTGTTTTTATTATCTAATGGTTGACGCTCTAATTACCCCTGGTGTTTCTCCCGTAGGTGTGGTGCTGGAAATGAACTGGTACAACTTCTAGAAGAGAAGGTAAGCAGCTGTACAGAACCAAGGTGTCAGGTTTCTTTGCCCCCTTTATAGTGGGAATAGATGAATTGTGAGGCAGTCCCAATTGCAGATAGAGAAATATGAGAATTTTGTGCCTGTAGAATTCTGTTCCATTAGTCGGGCAGTGGTGGTGTCCACCTTTAATCTTAGCTTTCAGGGGCAGGTAGATCTGTGAGTTCAAGGCCAGCCCAGGCTACAGAGAAACTCTGTTTCAAAAAATGGAAAAAAAGAAAAATCTGTTCCATTTAGTTTTCTGAGTCAGCCCTAGCTAGAGATTTGCCACAATATTTATACAAAAGATCTTATTGGAAAGGTTGGTTTTATATTTTTGCCTGCATGTCAGAACCATGTGTGCAGTGCCCGCGGAGGCCAGAAGAGGGCATCGAATCCCTCTGGAATTGGAAGTTATGGTTGGAAGCTGTCTGGGACTGACCTCAAGCTAAGATAACTACCTTAGGTAGTTAAAATTACTTGGTTGATTGCAAACATCCCTTTCGAAAACATTTAGATTAGAATCTGTCCCTAGCAAAGAATAGGTGAGAAATGTTTCTTCCCAGGCCAGTTTAGATAAGCTGCACCCCCACCCTGTTTGCCAACTTCCTGACAACAGTGCTTATAAGATGTAAGACTTCCTCTAATAAACAGACCTTGACAAAGTCTTGCTTGGTTTCCTTTTTCTCGCCCGTCTTCTTTTCAGGTGTGGTCCCCCTCGACCCCCATCAATAACTGAGTCCCCGAGGGCGGGGGCAAGTGGCGCCTTCTTCGGCTGAAACAAGTAAGATTATTTCCTCGGCTGAGGACTTCATTAAACCTTTCTCTCGTTCCGTCTCCCTCTCTTCCTTAAAATCTCATAAGTCACAAATAATCCAAAAACTTCCTTCCCCTTGTCCTTCTGTTGTTATTGACATGTCTGCCCAAGAAAAATCAGCCAATTGCCCCAAGAAACACAGGTCCCTCTACCCCTCTTTGCCTGATCGCTCAGAGGATACCTCTCCCTCCCCAAAACAGGACCTCACCTTCCCCGTTCTTAAAAAATCAAATTCCTCTGATCAATTAGACCCTTCAGAGGAGGGTACTGACTGGCCACAAAATACTCTTGCCCTCAATAATCTCCCACCCTATCCCTCTGCTCCCAATCTTTGTGCCCTGGCCTTCCGTCTCCAAGCATCTCAAACTGAGCTACTTTTGCAAGCCAAGGAGAGCTTATCCAAACAAGTTGCCGACCTCAAGGAGATCCTTTCTTTACAAAAACAATATGCAGACCTCTTCACTGAGCTCTCCTCCCTCCAAAAGACTTTCAAGGAGACACTTTTCGCTAGTCCTCCTCAAAAACATCAACCCAAGCCCTCCAAAAGACACAGGTCTTCCTCAAAAGCTAAGTTCCCCTTAGGCTTCCCTGTTAACACGAGGCAAAGGGCTCGAGAGGTCCCGTCTTCTGACGATGACTCCACTTGTCATAATGAGGACGAGGAGTCTGATCAAGAAGAGGACAAGACTAAGGAGGGTGAATATAAAAGACTTAAATTTAAACTGCTTAGAGATCTCAACAATGCAGTTAGGACTTATGGGCCCACTGCCCTGTTCACAGTGTCTATACTTGAGGCCCTCTCTGGGGGAGGATACCTTACCACAGCCGAATGGTTCAGAGTTACCCAGGCAGTCCTTCCTCGGGGACAGTTCCTATCCTGGAAGGCCGACTTCATGGATAGGTGTCGAACTCTCGCGGCCCAAAACCAAAAAAAACCCTCGGGCCCCAGAGGCTGCTTGGACCTTTGATAAACTCACTGGTCAGGGAAAGTTCCTGTCAGAAAGCCGACAACTTAAGTTGCCTACAGGCCTCCTGGCCCAGGTCAAAGAGGCCGCCTTCGGCGCATGGAGAGCTGTTCCTACAAAAGGATCACTTACTACGCCACTGACCAAAATTATTCAGGGCCCTCAAGAACCCTACAGTGACTTTGTGGGCAGACTTTTAGAAACGGCGGAAAGGGTGTTGGGGCCTGAAGAGGCTAATGGCAAATTTTTAAAACAGGTGGCTTATGAAAATGCTAATTCAGCTTGTAAAGCTATTCTTAGAGGGCATAGAAAAAATAAGACGCTTGATGATTTTGTTAGGCTCTGCGCCGATGTAGACACCTTTTCCCACAGAATTTCTCAGAGTATACATCTAGCAGTGAGGGCTGCCCTGCAAGCTGCCAATCCTCCCCCTAAGGGCTGCTTCAGATGTGGCCAGCTCCGGCATTTTGCCAGACAATGCCGCAAAGTACAAGGCTCTCGGCATCCTTCCATTGGGCCAACTAATGCCCCCATGCGGGCTCTTAATAAACCTATGCCTGCCACAATTTGCCCTAAATGTAAGAGGGGAAAACATTGGGCTAATCAATGCCGTTCCAAAACAGATGCATTTGGAAATCCACTCACCCCTTCATGGAAACCGGTGGAGGGGTCAGTCTAGGACAGGCACAAGTCTCCCTTCAAAATCCTCCAGTCCCTTACCCTCTGTCACCGCAGGAAACGCAGGACTGGACCTGTGTGTGCCTCCTCCAACACAATATTATATTAACACCTGAGAATGGCGTACAGATCCTTCCCACGGGTATTTCTGGGCCCCCCCTCCCAGCATGTTTTACCTTATTCTTGGGCGGGCATCTTCCACCTTAAAGGGCCTCGCCATACATCCTTCCGTGGTCGGCAACGACTATACTGGAGAGATTAAAATTTTGGCTAGCGCTACTCTAGGTCCCATTTGTCTTTCTAAAGGACAGCGAATTGCACAGGCTCTTCCCCTTCCTTTACATGGCCAATATCCGGCCTTAGGTGGGCCCCGTGGGGTAACTGAGCCAGGGTCTTCTGATATCTATTGGATCCAGGCCATTTCGAGGGATCGGCCTACCTTGCACCTTTAGTTAGACAAAAAATGGTTCGTAGGCATTGTAGGCACTGGGGCAGATGCCACGGTCCTTTCTAAGGATCATTGGCCTTCGGCTTGGCCCCTACAACCTTCCCTGACTCACCTGCAAGGCATTGGCCAATCTAAAAATACCTTACAAAGTTCTAAAATTTTGACCTGGGAGGACTCCGAGGGAAACTCTGGTGCAGTCCAGCCATATGTGGTTGAGTCCCTCCCTGTTAACCTATGGGGCTGAGATATCCTTGCCCAGATGAAATTAATGATGTGTAGCCCCAGTGAAATAATTGCTAGTCAGATGTTACATCAAGGCTTCTTGCCCGGTCAGGGCCTGGGAAAAAATAAACAAGGTATGACCCAGCCTGTTGTCATTCAACAAAAATCTGACCGCTCAGGGCTAGGGTTTCAAATTTTTTCCTAAGGGCCATTGCGCCTCCTGCACTACAGGCAGATAAAATCACTTGGAAGAGTGATGCCCCTGTCTGGGTAGATCAGTGGCCCAATGGCCCCTCTCCTCTATAAAACTGACAGCGGCCTTAGAGTTAGTGCAGGAACAACTGGCCGCTAGACATATTGAGCCTTCCACATCTCCTTGGAATACACCCATCTTTGTTATACAAAAAAGGTCAGGAAAATGGAGACTCCTACAAGACCTTCGAGAGATTAATAAAACCATGATTCCCATGGGGGCTTTACAACCGGGCCTACCCTCCCCGGTCGCCATTCCTAAGGGCTATTTTAAAATAGTCATTGATCTCAAAGATTGTTTTTTATCCCTCTCCATCTGGAGGATTGCAAGTGCTTTGCGTTTAGTCTTCCCATTACAAATTTCATCGGGCCTGTGCTATGCTTCCAATGGAGGGTTTTACCATTGGAAAAATGGTATATAGTCCCATGGCTAATAGTCCCACCCTTTGTCAAAAATTTGTTGCTCAGGTTGTAGACCCCTTTCGCCTTCGCTTTCCCTCCCTCTATGTCACTCATTATATGGATGACATTCTTTTGGTGGGCCCCGATGTTAAACAATTACATTCTGCCTCCCAACAACTTGTGGCTGCCCTTCAACAATGAGGCCTCCTAGTTTCTCCAGATAAGGTTCAACTAAGCCCCCCTCACCTGTTTTTGGGTTTTGAGCTCTTTCCCCATAAAAGTTTCCCAAAAAATACAGTTAAAGAAAAATTCCCTTTGAACCCTTAATGATTTTCAACGACTTCTGGGTGATATTAATTGGCTGCAGCCTTATTTAAAAATAACCACAGGAGAACTTAAGCCTCTTTTTGACATCCTCAGGGGAGATTCTGACACACACACACACACACACACACACACACACACACACACACACACACACCCGTCAATTGACCCCAGAGGCCATCCAGGCTCTCTCCCCATTGTTGTAAATAATACCTTCACTTACCTCTATGCACCTAATGATACCTATCTTGCCTGCTCATCTGGGTTGACTCCTTTTATTGTTTCTGATACCTTACTTAAAAACAAGGATTACTGTGTGCTTGTTCAGCTCTTCCCCCACCTTACAGTCCATTCACCAGATGAATTCCTGAGATTTTGGGAAGAGGACTCATTCCGTCCAGAGTCAAAAGGGAACCTGTCACTGCTGTCACCATCGCTGTGCTCCACAGTCTGGGAGCAGCCGGGGCAGGTACCAGGATTGCTTCACTGGTTACATCCCAACAACAGTATCATCAACTCAGCACAGCCATTGATCGTGACGTTCAGGAGTTTCAAAGTTCCCTAGCCTATCTCAAAGAGTCCTTCTCCTCTCTTGCAGAAGTAGTGTTACAAAGTAGATGAGGCCTAGATTTGGTTTTTCTCCAACAGGGAGGCCTCTGTGCAGCCCTCAAAGAAGAATGCTGCTTTTATACTGATAAAACAGGGTTGGTGGAAGACAGTCTTAAGAGAGTCCGAGAAAGCTTAGAAAAAAGACAGCAAGATAGAGAAAAAAGCAAAGCTTGGTACAAAAATTGGTTTTCCGCCTCCCCCATGTTAACAACTCTTTTACCCAGCATTCTTGGGCCCCTTGTTGGCCTTCTGCTTCTTACCTCGTTTGGGCCATGGGCCTTTAAAAGACTCACTGATCTCGTTAAGAGTCAGGTGGATTCAGCTGTTAATAGGCCAGTTCATTATCATTGCCTTAACATAAGCGATAGTGACCCTGACTGTTACGATGAGCCTCCCCTCTCACTAAAAACGGGCCTTGACTTTTCGTTGCTCAGCCACAAACAAAAAACAGGCTGGAGCCTCAGCTGATTGTGGAGACATCAATGACAGGAGTAGCCTGACGCCATGCACCAGAGGCACACCCCCCAACAGCTGTGGGGTCCTCAATGACGGGATTAGCATGGGTCCGCAGGCCAGAAGCACACCCCTCGGAGGGTGCTGGACGTGGGTGCAACTCATGTAGCCTAAGACAGAGGCTCCACCTTTTATTAAAGGGTGCTGGTCATGGAGGCACATCATGTAGCCTAAGACAGATGCTCCACAGAAGTAAAAATAAAAGGGGGAAATGTCCGGGACTGACCTCAAGCTAAGATAACTACCTTAGGTAGTTAAAATTCCTTGGTTGATTGCAAACATCCCTTGCGCAAACATTTAGATTAGAATCTGTCCCGAGCAAAGAATAGGCACGCACTTTCCAAGAAAAACTGCAAAATGTTTCTTCCCAGGCCAGTTTAGATAAGCTGCGCCCCCACCCTGTTTGCCAACTTCCTGACAACAGTGCTTATAAGATGTAAGACTTCCTCTAATAAACAGACCTTGACAAAGTCTTGCTTGGTCACACTTCTTTTTCTCGCCCGTCTTCTTTTCAGGTGTGGTTCCCCCTCCACCCCCATCAATAACTGAGTCCCTGCAGGAGGGGGCAGTGAGCTGCCATGTGGGTATTGGGAATTGAACCTAACTCCTAGAAGAGCAGCCAGCCTGGGCCCTTCACTGCTGGGCATCTCTGTAGCCCTAAACTTTGCCAGCTCAGAATTGTCTAACACATGGTTGGCATCTTGTGTGCCCAGGAGGGTGAGGTGTGTGGTGGCATCCACGTGGTGTCCTGGACAGGTGTGCTCGTTAGCTGTAGCTGGAATGAGCAGACAACCTGTGTGATTTAAGCTACCAGGCAGATGCCTCCTTATGCTCAGATACCTTGCAGAGAAATGAAGCAAATTTTAAGTTAAATGTTTTCAGAGAACCTCAGAATTCTAAGAGTCTTGGACATACAGACTGAAGGAGAACTTTACATTCTCATCCAGTGTAAAGATCTGTGGCTCTCTTAGATATGATCAGAATAAACTTGGCAACTTCAATGGCTCCTACTGATGTGGCCGTGGTGGAGCAGGGCTAAAGCTTCAACTGGCAGGCACTATTCAGGAGTCAGAATTAGCCTTCCAACTAAGAGGTCCAAAATTTGAAATTTGAATCTTGGGGCACTACGACTGGCCCTGGGTACAAGTTTAGACAAAGGGAGCGGGCAAATTGTGACAGACCAGCCCTGGTGCAGAAAGTAACCAGGCTAAGGCTTGAAAGATGCCGTTGCCTGGCAACCCACCAGGTGGTCCCTAGTTCCTCACCCAATTCCCCCTAGCTTGTGACCAAAGTCACATAGCCCTGCTTCTAAGAAAAAACACAAGTGCTGATGGCCCAACCTCCCTAGCTACAGCCAAATCAGCATGTAACAGGACATTCCAGGCATTGGTCAAGATCAGATATCCTCCAGATGGCCAGGCCAGGACTGATCGTGGCCTTAGCACCTAAAGTAGAACAATTATTTTAAAAGTCAACCTCCCTTACCCAATCAATGTGATGCCAAGGCTTGGAACCTCCAGTTTGGGATGACTGCCAGTGGCTCTTGCAAGTTCTTTTCAGCACAGAAGAAAGGGAACTTATCCTCCTGGAGCCCCAGAAAAATGATCTGGGAAATACTAGTGTTCCTATTCAGAATCCAGCCATATTGATGCTGGATTTCCTCTCACCAGACCCACCTGGGGTTACAATATGGATGAAGGTAAGGGGCATCTCCTTGTCTACCACCAGGCTCTGTTGGCAGGTCTAAGGCAGCCGCTAGACCGTCCACCAATTTGGCTAAGGTTTATGATGTTAGGCAGGGAACAGAAGAAAGCCCGGCGACCTTCCTAGAAAGGATCATGGAGGCTAATAGACATTCTACTCCTTATGATAACGTTCTGATCAGAAGTTGTCTGGCTTTCATTAATCAGCACCAGATGTTAAGAAAAGTTACAAAGACAGCAAAGATTAGGAGAAAAGTCATTAAGGGACTTGGTAGAGATTGCAGAGAATGTATATAACAAAAGCAAATTAGAGCATAGAAAAGACAGAATAAGGATTTGGCTAGAGTGCTCCTGGCTGCCACTGCCTTGGATCCAGGAGAGAGAAAACAACTCTAGAGAGTAGCCAGAAAAAAGGATCCCAAGGGACACAGCAGACCACAATTAGGTAAGAACCAATGTGCCTATTCTAAAGAAGAGGACACCGGATAAAGGATTGTCCCAAGAAAAAGCTGTGAACTAGGGTTATGTTCATGGAAGAAAAGAAGATTGAGGGAGTCGGGGTTCAGACCCTCTCCCTGAACCCAGGGTAACCTTTAAGGTGGAGAGGAAACCCTTAGACTTTCTGGTAGATACTGGAGCCCAACATTCAGTGCTCCTGAAGGCCAGGGGGCCAATATCTTCAAAGAAATCATGGGTTTAAGGGGCCACTGGCATTAAACAATATTCATGGACTCCCCGAAGATCTGTGGACTTAGGAATGGGATGGGTACCCATTCGTTTATTTGTCATTTCAGAATGTCCTTACCCACTTTCGGGGAGGGATCTATTAACCAAAATGAGGGCCCAGATACATTTTGGGCTGGAAGGAGCCCAACTACTAGAAGATAAAGGAAAGCCTATCCAAGTCCTAACGATCAACCTGGCTTCCGAATCTGAATACAAATTGTATGAGCAACCCCTTACTCATAAGGAAAATTTGGATCTTTGGTTACAGGAATTTCCTCAGGCTTGGGCTAAAACAGGGGAAATGGGACTGGCCAAACACTAGCCACCAGTGTTTGTTGAACTCAATCCAGGGTCGAATCCCTCCTGGGTATATCAATACCCAATGTCCATGGAGGTAAGGAGGGGAATAACTCCTCACACCCATAAATTACTCAAACTTGGGATTCTCAGGCCTTGTCAGTCTGCTTGGAATGCTCCCCTGTTGCCTGTTAAGAAGCCAAATTCAAAGACTATCAGCTGGTCCTCGACTTGATAGAGGTCAACCGGCAGCTGATGGATATTCACTCCACTGTACCTAACCCATACACTTTGCTGAGTTCCCTACCACCCGAAAGACTGGTACACCATCCTAGACCTGAAGGACACCTTCTTCGGCCTCCCCCTGGCGTCCAAAAGCCAAGAATACTTTACTTTCTAATGTCATGACCCAGAGGCAGGCATCAACGGACAGCTGACTTGGATGCACCTACCTCAAGGATTTCAGAACTTGTCCACCATCTTCAGCAAGGCACTGCATGAGGAGCTGGGTGAGTACAGGCCAACAACCCGGATGTTACCCTTCTCCAGTATGTACGTGACCTCTTGGTGGCAGCCAAGCTACCTGGAAGGGACCCAGAGGCTCCTGCAAGTCCTGGGAGAGCTAGGCTACCGAGTCTCAGCCAAAAAGGCTCAACTCAGCAGAACTGAAGTGACCTACCTTGGCTACATCCTGAAAGTAGGGCAACACTGGCTCTCCAAGGCCAGAAAAGAGACTGCTCTCAGCATTCCAGTCCCAATCAGTTGTCTCCAGGTAAGGGAGTTCCTAGGGTTGGCGGGATTTTGCAGACTCTGGATCCCAGGCTTTGCAGAGATAGCTAGGCCCCTTTATGAAGTCACAAAAGAGACTGAGAACTTTAATTGGACCTCAGAACAGCAACGGGCTTTTGACAAGTTGAAGCAGGCCCTGCTCTCGGCACCAGCCTTGGGGTTACTGAGCCCTTTCACCCGTTCGTGCATGAACAAAAAGGGATTGCCAAGGGAGTTCTGACTCAAACACTGGGGCCTTGGAAATGTTGGACCTGGACCAGGAGCAGCCGGATGGCCCCCTTGCCTGTGCATTATCACATCCACAGCTGATAAATTGACATTGGGCCAAAATTTGATTGTGACCATCCCCCATGCCATTGAGGGAGTGCTCAAGCAACTACCTGATTGATCGATAATGGCTCACATAACCCATTATCAGGTTCTGTTGACTAATCTTGGTCAAGTTGTTTTCCAGCCCCCTGACTCCTTAAACCCAGTGACCCTCCTACCAGATCCAGAACTGGAGCAGCTGCTACACTGCTGTGAAGGGATTTTGGCCCAGGTGTACAACACCTGATCTGACTTAAAGGATGCCTCTTTGCCTAATGCTGAGCAGACTTGGTTCACTGATGGGGGCAGCTTCATCCATGAGGGTCAGAGGAGCGCAGGGCCAGCAGTGACTACTGAGACTGAGGTAATTTGGACTCAATCCCTCCCCCTGGAGAACTTCCACCCAAAAGGCTGAATTAATTGTCTTAACTCAAGCCCTTACTATGGGCAAAAGACTAGCCATCAGTATCCACATGGACAGTCAGTATGCCTTTGCCACTACCCATGTGTGTGGAGCCATATACCAAGAAAGAGGGCTCCTAACAGCTGAAGGAAGAACCATTAAAAATAAAAGAGGAAATTTCCTAAGGCTCCATAAAGCCTTATGGCTTCCCAAGAGGCTGGCCATTATCCACTGCCCTGGACACCAAGAAGGAACCACCAATGTGAACAGAGGCAACAGCCTAGCTGATAAGACAGCCAAGAACACTCCACTGCAAGAAACAGCAGCCGCCATCTTAGCTTAGTTTGGGTGGGAGCCACCCAACCCAAACTTGCTGGAGGAGCCTCATTACACTGAAGAGGAAATAAAATTGGCCTGAAATCAACCCATGAGCCAATGTTTGAACTGTTGGTGGCAATCCAGCAACAGTAAGCTAATCTTGCCCAATTCCTTCGCTAGAGTTATTCTCAGGAAAATTCATAGAGTCACTCACATGGGATCAAAAAGAATGGCAGGTGCTGTGAGACAATAGAGTGATAATACATATCACTTTAGATATAAATAAGGATATACATAAAACTATTGATGACATTGTGGCTAATTGCAAAGCTTAGCTGACCAGTGCCACAAGCAATCCACAACACTCAGGATCACGCCTTCGAGGTAAGAGACCTGGAGCTTACTGGGAAGTTGATTTCACAGAGATTAAGCCTGGAAGGTAGGGATATAAATATCTATTAGTATTCGTGGACACCTTCTTGGGATGGACAGAGGCCTTCCCCATTAATGATAAGACAACCCAGATGGTAGCTGAGAAATTATTGGAAGATATTTTACCCAGGTATAGCTTAACATGATAGGATCAGATAAAGGACCAGCTTTTGTGACAAAGGTAAGTCAGAATACAGCCAAGTATATTGGGGCAGATTGGAAATTATATTGTGCTTACAGACCCCAATGTTCAGGACAGGTAGAGAGAATGAACAGAACATTAAAAAGAGATGTTAACTAAATTGACCTTGGAGACTGGTGGTGACTAAGATGCCCCTCCCCTTTGCCCTGTATAGAGTCAAATTCTCCCTATCAATTAGGACTGACTCCTTTTGAAATCATGTATGGAATGCCAGCCCCTATTATACCTAATCTTAAATCCGATGCCATTGCTGAAATAGATCCTTCATCTTAGGG